TCCCTCGACCTGCTGGGCTCCGGCGATCCTTCCGCCTCAGCCTTCCAAGTAGCCAGAATTACAGGTGTGCGCTACCATGCCCGGCTGATTTTTTGATTTATTGTAGAGATGAGGTCTCGCCAAGTTGCCCAGGCAGGTCTCGAACCCGCGGGCTCAGGCAATCCACTCACCTTGGCCTCCCAAAGTGCTGGGATTACAGGCTGAGCCACTAAGCCCGGCCCAGCTGACTGTTTTTAAGAAGGATGGAAGTCCCCTCCTCTGCTTCCCAACTCAATGCATCTCAGCTCATCACTATTATTTGGGTATATAAGGAAATCAAGGAATTGAGACTTTAGAGTTTTGCTTCTGCCAAGGGTGCAGAAAGAAAACTTTTACCAAAATAGCAGCTGAACTTTCCAAAGAAGGAGAGGATGGGTGTGATGGCTCATGTCTGTAATCCCAGCACTCTGAGAAGTCAAGGCAGGAGGACTGCTTGAGTCTAAGAGTTTGAGATTAGCCTGGACAACATGACAAGACCTTGTCTCTACAAAAAAATACAAAAATTAGCCAAGTGTGGTGGCACACATCTGTAGTCTCAGCTACACAGAATCATAGCACTGCATTTCAGCCTGAGTGACAGAGTGAAATTCCAACTGAAAAATCAAACAAACAACAAATTTTTTTTAAGATTAGAAAACATAGTTTATTTAGAAAGTAAATTAGAGAGCGAAAAAGAGGAGATTCACCTCCCCAAGGTAGGCGAGGGGGCCAAAGCCAGGAAACATGGCCTGGCCAAAGCTTAAAGAGCACATGGCCACACCATAGCTTAGCAAGGCAATGGCTCAACAATTTTATATATATATTTTTTTTTTTTTTTCTCCTTTTTCTTTTTTTTTGAGTAGGGGTCTTATTCTGTCACCTAGGCTGGAGTGTAGTGGCACACTCATGGGTACCACAGCCTCAACTTCTTGGGTCCAAGTGATCCTTCGGCTTCAGCCTCCCAAGTAACTGGAACTACAGATGTGTCCCACCACACCTGACTAATTTTTTGATTTACCGTAGAGATGAGGTCTCTTCAAGTTGTCCAGGCTAGTCTCAAGCCCCTGGGCTCAGGTAATCCTCTCACCTCGGTCTCCCAAAGTGTTGGGATTACAGGTGTGAGCCACCACACCCGGCCCAAAAAACAATTTTTAAAAAGAAGTGGGAAACTATCTAAGAAGCCCAAAAGTACAGGAAAAGTATGAGAGTATTGCTATCCTTGTTTTAAATTACTCAAGGGTTTAAAAAAGAAAAGATCCAAGAATTGTTTAAACTAGCACTTTGTTAAGAAAACAACTTCAGGGCTGGGCAAGGTAGGATTACTTGAAGCCAGGGGTTCAAGATCAACCTAGGCAACATAGTAAGAACCCTATTTCTACTATAAAAAAAGAAAATTAGTTGGGTGTGCTGGTGTGCACTCGTAGTCCTAGCTACTTAAGAGACTGCGGCAGGAAGGTCATGTGAGCCCAGGAGTTCAAGGCTGCAGTAAGCTATTATTACCTCACCCTGGGTGACAAAGAGAGACTCCACTTTCTTTTTTTTGAGTTGGGATCTCACTCTTGTCACCCAGGCTGGAGCACAATGGCACACTCATGGTCACCCCAGCATCGACCTGCAGGGCTCTGGCAATCCTTCCGCCTCAGCCTTGGAAATAGTCAGGCGTGTTACCATGCCCAATTAATTTTTGATTTATTGCAGAGACGAGGTCTCGCCAAGTTGCCTGGGCTGGTCTTGAATCCGCGGGCTCAGGCAATCCACTTACTTCGGCCTCCCAAAGTCCTGGGATGACAGGCTGAGCCACCAAGCCCAGCCAAGACTCTACTTCTTAAATAAACAAAGTAAATAAAAATAAAGAAAGAAAGGAAGGAACTTCCAAGCCAGGTATGGTGACACATGGCTGTAATCCCTACTACCCTAGAGGCTGAGGCAAGAGGATTATTTGAGCCTAGGAGTTTGACACCAGCCTGGGCAACACAGTGAGACCCTCTCTCTAACATAAAATAAGCAATTATCATTGGGAAATATGTACTAAAAAGACAAAGTTCGTTGCTTAATCAGCTATGCACCCTGACATTTCCATCAGTGACAAAGGGCATATTTGGTAGTCTCAAAAGATTACAGTGGAGCTGAAAAATTCCTATGGCCTAGTGAAGACACAGTCGCCATCATAGCACAATGCATTACCGCTCATGTTTGTGGCGATGCTGGTATAAACAAGCCTATTTACACTGCCAGTTACATCAAAGTATAGCACGTCCAATTATGTAGGGTGCCTCATGCTTGATAATGAAAAGAAGCTATGTCACTGGTTTATACACTATACGATACTTTTTACATTTTATTTATTTTTATTTTATTTTATTTTTTTGAGTTACAGTCCCATTCTGTCGCCCAGACTGGAGTGCAGTGGCACGCTCCCAGCCACCGCAGCCTCGACCTGCTGGACTCCGGCGATCCTTCCGCCTCGGTCTTCCGAGTAGCTGGAACTACAGGCGCACGCTACCATGCCCGGCTAATTTTTTGATTTATTGTAGAGATGAGGTCTCGCCAAGTTGCCCGGGTGGGTCTTGAACCTGCAGGCTCAGGCAATCCACTCACCTCAGCCTCCCAAGGCGCGGGATTACAGGCTGAGCCACCGAGCCCAGCTTTTACTAGACTTTTTAATCCTTAAAGTGTATGGCTACTTAAAAAACAAAAAAAAGTTAACCAGTCTCAGGAAGGTCCTTCAGGATGGATCCAGAGGAAGATTCATCATAGGCAATGACAGCTCCGTGCATGTTACTGTACCTGAAGATCTTCCAGAGGACAAGGTGTAGAGACAGAAGACGGTGACACTGATGATGCTGACCCTGACTACTCAGGCTAATGGACAATTTTATATTTCAGTTCTTAACAAAAAAAATTTTAAAAGAAAAAAATTTTAAAAATTTTTTTAAATGGAAAAAAAGCTTATAGAGCAAGGATAAAAAGAAAATACTTTTGTTCAGCTGCACAATGTGTTTGTGTTTTAAGTAAAGTTGTTCAAAAGTTTATAAAGTAAAAAAGGTACAATAAGCTGAATGAAGGTTATCTATTATTGAAGAAAAAAATATATTTTTAGTAATTTATAGTAGTGTAAGTATAAGGTGTTGATAAAATCCATTCAGGGATGTTACAGGTCCTCACACTCCCTCCCCATCACTCACTGACTCCCAGAGGGACTTCCAGTCCTGCAAGTTCCATTCATGGCAAGTGCCTTACACAGGTGGGCCACGGCTTATCTTTTGTATGGTATGTTCACTGTACCTTTTCTATGTTTAGATATGCAAATACTTATGTTTGTGTCACAACTGCTTTACAGTGTAACATGCTGTATAGGTGTGAATCCCAGGAGCAACACGCCACACCACACAGCCTCAGTGAGTAGGCTGTACTGTCTAGGCTTGTCTAAGTACACTCCACAATGCTCCCACCATGACAAAATTGCCCATTGATGCATTTCTCAGAAGGTGCCCTCATCCTGAAGGTACAAATACTGAACCTTCCCTAGGACACTCGAATAGGCCTCAAGTTACAAGGAGAGGTATGTAGAGGAAAGAGTGGAAATGCAGAAAAGGGGGAAATGACACCCGAGAACATGGGCAACCCTGCAGCAAGCTTTGCAGGGAGCCAGGATCACAAATGACTTTCCCAAGCTCCATTTTCAATGGCAGGGAGGCGTTCATATTCTGCACACAGGCAGAGCCTGAGAGCACACCCCCTTAGCCAAAAAGCAGAGGATACACCCGGCTCTACTCACTCATGGAAGGGAGCCTTTCAGGACAGGTGTGGTTTGCGAAGTAGGTGAAATCTTCAGGGAGAAAGGTTGTGGTCTGTAGGAAGGTTTCGCTATGGTTCAAGTCAAGAGGATAATCTGGAGAGACAAGGGAAAAGGCGACTCAGAGGGCACACGGAATCAACCGCCACTTGCAGATGCCTCCCAAAGAAGTACAGCTCTTGGGCAGTGTCTCGGCGGACGCAGGACTCTGGACCAGCTCTTCAATGCAGCTAAAACAAGAACACATCACTAAAGCCGTTACCTGGATGACGGACATTAGCCAGCATTCCCATTCTTCTTGGCATTATGGGCTTACATGCACTCGGCTTATAGTTAACTGTGATTAAATGCAATTTAAAAACCAGCAGTCTCTCTCCTCTGTTTCTTATTTTCTAAAAGAAAATCTCCTCTCTTTTGGCCAATGATTTTGTGTTGAGTACTCACCTCCATCGTCAGCCTCAGGGCAGTCATGACAATTCTCCCTGCCCACCTGCCATGGGGGATGAGGATGCTACTCCCCTTCTTTCCCCCGGCCCCGCCCCCCATCCTTTTCCATCCTCCCTAGCCCCCAGCAGTCCAGTCATATATCATAACTGTAGTAAGGGCAATTTTCAGTGTTTATATTATGATGATGCCACAAGTACTTACCATAGCTGAGAAATGTGGAGCATTGTGTATGATTTTTTTTTCCTGGTGTGACTACTTGTGTTTTTTCATTTGCCCAGTTTTACACACAGTGATTACTAATGCAGCACCATGCCCTTCCCACTACATTCCCTAAGACACCCACATACATGCATCAGGTATGCTTTCAGCTTCATCTTCCCAGAGAAGGTGCAGTGTCTCTGGCTTCTGCACACTCAGTGTGTAGCTGCCACCCTCAGTTCCCACCACCAATGCCCTGAGGCTGCCTTCACTGCTCTAATATAGCCTTGAACCTCAATTCCCTAAGTTCAATGTCTCCCTTTTTCTTGCTTGGTGAAGCATGTCCTCTGAGCAGCACCCTAAGAAGATGGACTGAAGTCAGGTACAGTGGCTCATGCCTGTAATCCCAGCACTTTGAGAGGCAGAGGCAAGAGGATTGCCTGAGCTCAAGGGTTCGAGACAACATGGCAAGACCTCATCTCTACAATAAATCAAAAAATTAGCATGGCATGGTGGCACCTATGGTCCCAGCTACTTGGAAGGCTGAGGCAGAAAGCTCACCTGAGCCCAGTAGGTCAGGGCTGCGGTGGCCATTAGAGTGCCGCTGTACTCTAGCCTGGGCAACAGAGTGAGACTCCAACTCAAAACAAAAACAAAAATATGGACTGGTACAAGACTCTGAAACCTCATACATCTGGATTGCTTTTGTTCTTCCTCATTTCTTTTTTTTTTTTGCCTCAAAATAATCTTTATTTACTATAATTATTGCTGTGTAGTCACTGCTATCTGTTAATTATCAAATCATGTAGATGGTCTTGTTTTCCACTTAGTAGTCTACAGTGCCTTGAGAGTCCTATTTCCTGTATCAATTAAACACTTTTTTTGTTTTGTCCCTAGTTCTGGTTGTAACAATTAGAGCAGCCAGGCACGGTGGTTCAGGCCTGTAATCCCAGCACTTTGGGAGGTGGAGGCAAAAGTATTGCCTGCGGCCACAGTTTTGAAAAGAGATCAGCCTGGACAACTTGGTGAGACCTCGTCTCTACAATAAATCAAAAAATTAGCCGGGTAGGATGGCATGCGCCTGTAGTTCCAGCTACTTAGAAGGCTGAGGGGGAAGGATCATCTGAGCCCAGCAGGTCGAGGCTGCGGTGGCCTTGAGCATGCCACTGCACTCCAGCCTGGATGACAGAGTGAGACTCTGACTCAAAAATAAATAAATAAATAAAAATAAAACAATTCGGGAAGAAAAAAAAGACTACCTACAAACTTGGTTAAATTGTTTAGGAGATATATAATAAAGATTCCCCTGATCTATGCCTATAGCCATAACCTGAGTTATAGACTCAATTACTCCAAATAAATAGTTCTTCTAGGTACTCAATTAGACCTTAGTATGTAAACAACAAAATAATTTCCCCAAATGAATAAGAGAAAGGTAGCTCTATACCTTTGCTGCTCTGTGTTAAAGACCTGACAAATCACTCTTGTTTTAAAGCTGTGACTTATGTCAAGCATTTATTAAGCTTCAGTATATAGAGAACTCTAGTCCCAAGAGCTGGGTTCTATACTCTCCAAAAGTACTTCTTGGGAGGTAACACAAAATTGAAGTCCTCATGACAGTGATTTTTTATTACATTAGTTGCTTTAAAAAACACTGCAGATGTCATAATTGTTAACATAACAATTTACCAAACTGTAATTAACTGGTACAGTTTGCTGAGCATGTTTTATAAAGGAAAGAAATGCCAAAATCCTGCAGCCTAGGAGAACAAAGATTTGTTTTTCAGACACTTAAGCCAGGCAAATAAAAACAGGTAAAGAGTCTTCCTCCCCCATCTGAAGCACTTCATCAGTAGAAATAGTCTGATAAATAAAAACTAGACAGTCTTTGCAGTCAAGAGATTCCACAACTTATAATGCAATAATGGAGACGTTTACCTTCTTCAGCTTCAAAGTTGGAGGGTTTTGCTCATTTAACTTTAATCAAACTAGTGCTTTTTAAAAGCTGTAGTATCTTCACTCTGAGATAAGCAGTCTTCTTCACAGTGTATCCTTGATATCCTCACACTCCATTTTAAGGCAAAGCAATTTTTAATACTAGGTGCACACCACATGCCCTTGCTGCAATCTGCTTTTCTTGACAAGTTATGAAGTAGTTCAAGGAGGTACTGGTTAAGGCTGTATTACTGAATGGTGCTGGTAAATACTACACAATTTTTTGTCATGTTGCAACCTTTTGTCTCCAATTGAGTGACTTGCTGCTGTGAAATCAAATAGCAACAATGATATTATTAGGTTTGTTTTGTTTTGAACTATGATTTTTAGTAGCAACTGAGGTTCCCAATTTTAACCCCCAATCCCCTTGGCAGCAAAATCAAGTTCCCTCATTCGCACATTAGCACTTAAGTGGGGTTAAATAACCAGCACAAGACACTGCACTTCTGACTGTAGCACTTGGCAGAACTGAAGGAAGGAAGTCGTGCTACATGTTGAAGGAATTTGGGGCAACACTAAGAAGACACTAGGAGAAGATAAAATGTCACATGAAGTCTTCATAGTCTTGTAAATATCCTCTGTCATAACCACTATGATCTGTCAGATCACCTTTCATGGAGGCTTTTAATCCCCTTCCGGGAAGCACACCTTTCTTCTTCTTTTTGGCTCTCCTTTTTTTGCTTCTGTTTTTCACTGCAAAGCACAGTCAGTGAATTGGATATCATCGTCGTCTTCTTTTTTTTTTTTTGAGTTGGAGTCTCACTCCGTCGCCCAGGCTGGAGTGCAGTTGCACACTCACTGCCACCCCAGCGTCCACGTACAATCCTTCCACCTCAGCCTTACGAGTAGCCGAACTATAGGCGCATGCTACCACACCTGGCTAATTTTTTATTTATTGTGTAGACAAGGTCTCGCGAAGTTGGTCTTGAACCTGTGGGCTCAGGCAATCCACTCTCCTCGGCCTCCCAAAGTGCTGGGATTACAGGCTGAGCCACCAAGCCTGGTCAGATATCTTTTTCAAGTCATCAATCTCCAATGCAAAACACACATCTTGAACTAAGACTTCCAAAAAGTTGGCATAATACAGTGCCTTTTCATATTAGGTAATTTTACCTTATAGTAACTTTCCAAACTCTGTGAAGTTATCTCTTGAAGATGGGGTCATAGCATCTATTCCACAAATTATATTATTAGTACCAAAAGTTTCCTTTGCTAACTCGAGGTCTGACTCTTCCTGCAATTTCCTTCTTTCTTTTTTTTTTTTTTTGAGTCAGAGTCTCACTCTGTCACCCAGGCTGGAGTACAAGAAGACTCGGTGAAGGCGGGATCAAACCCTGACGGAATTCAGGATGAGGGCCTTTCCATTACACTGTACTACTTTTTCACAGAATATTAAAAAGTCTGTCTCACCAATCCTCTTGCATTCATGCTGATTCCATGAAAATTAAAACTTCCTGTTCATATTCACTCTGCACCCTATAACTTTAGACTCTTCAACCCAGAAATTTTTTAAAAAGCCCAATGAGAGAATTTCTAAGAACCAATGGCTCATACATTGAAGCCTTTTGTATAGGCCCACAGCTCTCTGTAAGGACGGGGGACAGAATGCAAGAAGCAGCAACTTGAGAATCTTAACACTCTCTCAACAAAGGAAGAAAGGAACAGAATGTCTTCTGTCCTTTCTAACTGCAGCTTTCCTGAGAAATCCTAAGCCTGCATTCATAGACTGGCAGAGATTAATTTATACAAAGACATAAGCCAAGCCAGCATAAGCCTTAAAGGTAAAACTACACAGAAATTAGCTCAAAGTTCTCATTCCTACATGTAAACCTGTCTTAGCATGGACCCTCGTCTGAAAGTGCAACGACTTCAAAAATCTACATGAAGAAGCTCCATTGCTGGGACTCTGGATTATTCTGGTACAGGAAATGATTATTTTTCAGCAAAACATTAAAAGACAGCGCATGCACCAGAAGATGTGTCTGTGTCTGTGCTAAGCCCATGTGGAGAGTGAAGTTGGCTGGGCACAGCACAGTAATGACATTTGCTAGCAGGCAATGCAGTCCCCAAAGGAGTCACACTGAGCATTTTCAGCAAATCAACAGCAATGAAGAGAATAACCGTTCTGGTCATTGACAGACCCAAGCCTTCGGACTAGAACATAAACAGGACACAGGAATTTTAAAAAAGGAGACAGAGGAGGCATTTCCAGTTTTAGGGGTTCTACTATTCCAGGCTTCTTTGAAGATAAACAAATTCCTTTCTCCTCCTTCAAACACTGATACAAGAAGCCTGGGAGCAGCCCACATGAAACAAAGCACCACTTATTTTTTCTTCTGATTACTATATTAAACACATGCCTTTTTTTTTCCTTTTTTCTTTGGGGTGAATCTCACTCTGTCACCCAGGCTAGAGTGCAACGACACGATCATGGCTCACCACACACAGCTGTCACC